CTTTTCCTGTCATTCTTATGCATGGTATTTTCTTCTTTGAAGCCTCAATCTCCCTTCGTAAATGACTTCTGACATGGCGTGACTTTGTGCAGGTTATAAGATTGTTTCATGTCCCATGAATAAACATGAGAGGTAGTGCATGAAGGGAAACATCATCTCTCCATTACATGTCTTCAAGCCACTCCCAAGATTGTTGTTGTTGTTATGTGCCGTCGAGTCGCTTGTGACTCAGCGATCCTATGTACAACAGCCCTAAACCCTGCTCCATCCTGTGCCAATCTCACTGCCTCCAACACACTCATCCCGATTACCCCAGTCACTGAATCAATCCACCTCATAGAGGGTCTTCCCCTTCTGCTCCATCCCTCCACCCTCCCAAGCATGATGTCCCTCTCCAATGACCTGTCCCTCCTTACAACATGTCAGACAAAGCCTCAGAATCCTTGCCGCCAAGGAGCAGCCTGGTTGAACCCTCTCCAGGTTGAATCTGTTTTCTTGGCAGTCCAGGGTACATTCAATACTCTTCTCCAGCATCACAGGTCAAAGGCATCAATTCTACTTCTATCCTCCTTAGTCATTGTCCAACTCTCTGATGCATAACAAGTGATTGCAAAGACCATGGCCTTTATCAGATGCACCTTAGTCTCCAGAGCGAAACCATTGCTCTTCAGTATCTTCAGTATTTTGGAGAGGTCCCTAACAGCAGACTCTTCCATCACAATGGTTTTTTTTATTTCCTGGCTACTGGTGCCAAGAGTGTTGACCGTGGAGCCAAGCAGACTAAAGTTAACAATCTCAATCTCTTCACCATCCATCCTGATGATGCCAATTGGTCCAGTGGTCAGAATCTTTGTCTTCTTGACATTGAGCTTCAATCCATACTGAAGGCTGCAGTCTTTGACGCTCTGCAGCAAGTATTTCAGGTCCTCCTCAGTTTCAGCAAGCAGGGTTGTGCCATCTGCATAACACAGTTTATTAATAGATCTTCCACCAATTCTGACACCACACTTCTCTTCATAGAGCCCGGCCTCTCAGATAATCTGCTCTGCATACAGGTTGAAAAGGTGTGGAGATAGGACACATCGCTGGCGTACGGCTTTCCCAATTTTGAACCATGCAGTGTTTCCTTGCTCTGTTCTGACGACTGCCTCTTAGTCCAAGTATAGGTTTCGCATTAGAACGATCAAGTGTTCTGGGATTCCCATTCTTCTCAGAGTCAGCCATAGTTTGTTATGATCCACACAGTCAAATGCCTTTGCATAATCAATGAAACACAGATAGACATTCTTCTGGTATTCCCTGCTTTCAGCTAAGATCCATCTAACATCAGCTACAATATCCCTAGTATCACGACTCCTTCTAAACCCAGACTGCTATTCCAGTCGTTTTTGGATAATCTTCAGTAGAATCTTGCTTGTATGTGAAATCAATGATATCATTTTATAGTTTCCATACTCTGTTGGCTCACCCTTCTTTGGAATGGGAACAAATATAGATCTCTTCCAGTCAATTTGCCAAGTGGTTGTTCTCCAGATTTCTTGGCACAACTTGGACACATCCAGGGCAGCATCTGTTAGCTGAAATGTGTCAATTGGTATACCATCTATTCCTGGGGCTTATTTTTTGCTATTTCCTTCAAAGCAGCTTGAAATTCTTCCTTCATCACCATAGGCTCTTGTTCATATGTGATTTCACTAAATTCTTCTGTGTCTGCCAGTTCCTTTTGATACAGTGACTCAGTATATTCTTTCCATCTTCTTTTAATACTTCTTGGATCATTCAATATTCTGCCAAAAGCATCCTTGATTATAGCAACTCGAGGTTTAAATTTGATCTTCAGTTCCTTGAGCTTAAGAAGAAATGCTGAGCGAGTTTGGCCCTTTTGATTTTCTGACTCCAGCTCCTTGCACATTTCATCGTAATATTTTGCTTTGTCATCCTGTGCTGCCCTTTGGAATCTTCTCTTCAGCTCTTTAATATCTTGAATTCTTCCTTGTGCTTTGGCTTCTCTGAGCTCCAGTGCAATATTCAGAGTTTCTTCTGACATCCATTTTGGTATTTTCTTCCTCTTCTGTCTTTGTAATGACCGTTTGCACTCTTCCTGGATGATACATTTGACATCCTCCCACAACTCATCAGGTCTTCGCTCATTAGTGCTTAATGCCTCAATGATTTTGGCAGGGAAGCATGTATGTTGGGGTTTGCTGGAATAAAATTGACTGTAGGCCAATTAGTTTGATTTTCTTTCTTTTTCAAAATATCATGGCCATACTATACCAAAAGGCAGATCAGCGTGAGGCATCTTAACAGAGCGAGTAATATCATAGAAGGCCTGGTGGGTAGGAAAGTTGGCAACACAAAAAGAGGACAATAAAGATTAAAAGTATTCATTCCACATTGTTTGGAACTGCTGGAGACAAGCAGCCTTTGGGTTAACAGTGCAAGGAAAACCTCTGTAGTGGTCAGGTTGAGACTGATCTCCGCATGGGCTGACCAATGGGTCACTGTGTTATGACCACAACTCTTCAGTGAAACAGACAATCTCCTGCTGTGCAATTTAGTGCCACTGAAAACACATTGGAAGGTCAGCTATGGGTCACTTCCAACTCTAACGTACTCAACGACAACAACATTATAACAATATTGTCAGACCTGGTCTGAGGAAATTGCAGTCTCTTCAGGGGTATGGCCTGCAGAGTCCAGATAGGTATATGATCTCTCAGGAGTTTTTGCGAACTTGAATCCTGCATGGGGATCCTCATTTCTAGACTTGAACCAGCAACCTGTCTTACCTGCTTGCTATAGTTCATTCAGCTTCCACAGATGCTTTTCTCCTGAGTTTGGCCTATGAAATAGGAACTTGCCAGCTGCTACAAGCACAGGTGCCATTTCCTTGAAATGAATTTCTTTATATATATATGTTTCATCATCCTAGTCTCTAAGGAAGAACACCATTGTACTCTCTCCAAGACAATTTTTTTTTCTTTTTGCACACCATTGGATATTCAATAGTCTTCATCAACACCACAGTGCAAAGGCATCAACTCTTCTTTGATCTTCCTTATGTATTGTCCAACTTTGTGATGGCGGCCACACACAAAGAGGGGCCGCGCATCCGCCGAGCGCCCGTGTGGCGGGGTGGGAGCGCACCCCCAACGGCTGCCAGCGCTGGGGTGGGGGGTGCATGCCCCGCTGGCTGCCTGCGTAGGAGGTGGGGAATGGGATGCATGCCTGCCATCTGCAGGTTTGGGTTTCCTTGGACGGGCCAAAGAAGATGATTACCTATGCATTGGACAGGCCAAAGAAGACGATTACCTATGCAATGGATTGCTGAAAGTCACTGTGAGTCTGATGACCTTAACAGTGGCAGCATGCACAAGAGGACCCACATCCTAAATGCACCACATATTTTGTTCTGTTGAATGCTTCTGCCAAAAGATGGTTAGACCTGGGGGGAGTCTGTTCACAATTCTTAGGTTCCCTTTATCATACATAAAGGGAGAGGGCAGTGACACCTACTGCAAAATATAGTATGACCACTTATGGGGGGGGGTTAAAATGGCAGTGCTGGAATTGCAAACACTATCCCTGACCACAGAGTCCTCAGTCAGGCGAGGGGACCAGACTGGGGTAGGGGCAATTGGAGGCGGAGTATACCAGCCAGCTCCTGGGGGGTGTTGCCCTGCCCGGGATGGGCTGCCCTCAGCCCCCGGCTCGGGGTGAGCTGTCGTGGCCCTCTGCCCGGGGCGGGCTGCCCTCGGCCCTCGGCCCTCGGCTCGGGGTGAGCCGTCACGGCCCTCAGGGTGAGCTCCTCAGTTCCCAGATTGTACCATCTGACCCCTGGGTGGGGAAGGAGAAAAAAAAAAGAATGCCTAGGGTATCCAGAGAATGTTACCTAGGCCACCTTCTGCCATCCTCCCACCCAGTAAATCTGAAAGCAACGCCCTTCTATTTGTAACTCACAAGTTTGTTCTCTCTAGGTTTGCTCCCTTTCCTATAGGTAACCTTAACTCTGAGTTTTACTCCAGAATTGACCCTGAACCCAGTGCCAGTGACAACAAGGAAATACAACTGACAGCTAAGGAAGCAAAGGAGGATGGAGCCTCTGGGTTCAACCAGCCATCCCCACTGGACCCACCTGGGGAAACACCCTGCAGTCCAGAGGGGAGCAAATTACAGGAAAATATCTTCTAACAGAGCAAGAAGGCAAGCAGCTTTAACCCAAGACCACCAGTAAGGTAATAAAGCGTCCTCCCTTTCCCCCCCTTTACATCTATGCCCCTGTTCAGCATGAAGAAGCCAGAGAGTCGGCATCCAATTCCCAAATCAATAAGACAGTTGGTTTAATTACTATTGGAAAATGCTTGTTATTCCTCTGTAGCATCTGGTCCCCACTGGACCCTCATCATTTCCTTCACCTGCTCCCCCCACCGACCAAACTGTGCAGCTCTGCAACAGCATCCTGGCCCATCCTCACCCTTCTGCCCCCAACCCTCATCTCCTTGTACCCCTAGTACGTTTTTCCCAATTAAAAAAAATCATAAAAAACAAAAAAAAAACCAACACAAACTCACAACCTAAACACGACCTTGAGTTTATCCCATTTGAATTTAAAAATAATCTCAAAATTAATTATGTTTGATAGATTGAACGCTAACAACCAGAGTTTATTACAAACTCAAAGGCCTAATCACTCAGCTGCTCTGAGGGAGTAAGTTTGCCAATCTCCTCCAATACACACACACACACACACACACACACACACACACACACATTTTTCATTCATTTTACTTCTCTAGAGAATACAAGATATTCATCAAACACAAACTTAATAAATACTGCTTCTCTTTTCAGTGGTGAAAATGATTCTAAATTGATTGAGTCACAGAAATGGAAAGAACACACCATTATAGTTTAACCAATGTGTAAAGAAAGCTCTTATGCAATCACTTCTCTGGGCTCGTCTCCTCAGAATTCTGCGGGAGCCTCGCACTGTTGAGATGAAGCTCCACGGCCTTGGTGTCCTTCTAGCCGTAGTCTTCTTCTATAAGCAGCATGTCTCCGCATTCCAGAGGTAACGTACTCAAGTTCAAGGCCACGGCAGGTCATCTTCCACTTGCGTTTGCTCCACATTGAATCAAGCTGTGCTCTAGGCCCCACAATGCAGGGAGCAATCACGAGTTGAGGACCAACTCTTCAATAGCTAGCAACCAGAGCCATTCCACAGCTTTACTTGTCAGTTTAAAATGAGAAAACAGCTGTTTAGAGGGACTAAAGTTCCTACAGTTTGAATCCACCAGCATTGATGCTGGAGAAAGATGGGCAATCTTCCAGCTTAATTCACAGCCTCAGAAACCAACAGGAGGGTTAGTGCTGAGGTTCCTAGAGTGAAGGGTGATGTGAACAAAGGAGAAGGACAACGCGAAAATGGTGACAAGATAAATAACAAAAGAAATTTGTGACCTTTCTGTGTGTGTGCCTTCGCTTCTGCGCCTGCTCTGAAATCTGGTGGATATCATGTAGAAGAGAATAATGAGAACAGATTACATTTTAATCACTTAAGATGACATTAAGTATATACAATGCCTTGTGTACATAGGAAAGGTTTCTGTATGTTGGGAGCGGAGGTGGGGGTATTTTGGAGGCAGACCCTTTGGGACAGATGCATTTCTGATCCTGGGTTTCTATCCAAATGGCATTATAAATTTGTCTTTCTGGGAATTAAAAAAAAAAAAAGCCAAATGCTTCTGTATGCTGCTTTTTCCAGGAACAGTCAATTACTGAAACCCAACAGGAAACCTAATTTCAAAGAGACAAACGTTGATGAATTGCTCTGGGGAAGAACAATGTAAACCTGTCTCAAAAGAGCCAGCAGCCTGGCTTTTCCCTGAAGCTGATATTTGTTATTATTTCCTTGTCCTGAACACTTTCCTAATAGCAGTTTCTGTTCAGTCAGCCTCTTAGTGGCAGATTTGTAGGTGCATTTTAGTAAATCTCATCAGTTACATGCCCTGGAACGGCAACAAAACATTTTAAAAGCATAAATACAATATGCCAAAGAGAAAGACAGCCAGAAAATACGTCTCAATTTTGCTTGCTTTTAAGGGCAAACAATAGAAGGGTGAAAAATAAGACTAGTAAGAACCTCATCAGCAGTCATTAATTGCACTGGGCAATGATTACCTAAGTGCAGTCAGTCACCGAGGCTTTTTATTTGGAAAGAGGAAAAGAGAAACCATAGGATGAGAAGCAAGCAAGCAATTGAAGGATGAAGGAAGGTCGAGGATGAAGTTTCTGAATTATTAATTGGTTCGTTGCTGTTGTGTTGGAACCAACAAAGCTGACCCTTCAGTGCTTCAGTGGGTGTTCAGAGGCTGTAAACCACTTGGGAGGAGATTGCCCAGCTTTTTTTTTTTAGACTGTCATTCATTCATTTAATAAATATGTTAAATAACTATTATATTCCAAGTATTGTGCTATGAACTAAGGACACAATAGGAAACAATAAAAGGTATCAGTCCATATTATGTTTATATTCTATTGGGTTCCTTTTTTCTGGTGGCCTAGTGGCAAGAAGCTGTGTTGCGATCTTGAAGGCACAAGTTTCGAAGCCACCAGCTGCTCTGTGTGATTAACTGCCTCTGAAAACGTGCCAGAGGGTCAGCTATGGGCCTGTTCTGACTCAACAATACACAGCAACAAGAAGAAGAAGAATTAAATAGCAATGAGAAATTAGGATGAAAACACTTAGGACAGTATCTAGTGTATATAGATGTTGTGTTATTAGACACCATCAAGTACAACTCATTGCAACCCTATGATCAGCAGATCTGAACCCTGTCCTATCTTGTGCCAACCTCACAATCTCTGACATACTCAAGCCAATTACTGCAGTCAACGTCATCCATCTGATTGAGGGTCTTCCTCTCCACCATTCCTCCGCCTTTCCAAGTCTGATGTCCTTCTCCAAGGAATAGCCTCTTCTAGCAACAAGCCTGAAGTATGTGAGAAGATTAAGCTTTTAAACATGTGTGTTGTTGTTATTGTGTGCTGTTGAGCTAGTTCTGACTCATAACCCCACAGGACAGAGCGGAAGCACCCCATATGAGTCCCTATGCTATAATCTTTATGGGAGCACATTCCCTATATTATTATCTTTATGGGAATACATTCCTTCAGTGGACCCACTAGTGGCTTTGAACCACTGACTTTTAGATTTTATATTCTTCTCCAGCACCACAAGTCAAAGCATCAACTCTTCTTCTGTCATCCTTAGTCATTGTCAAGCTCTCTGATACATACCATGTAATTGCAAACCATAGCCTAGATCAGGTGCACCTTAATCTCTAGACTGACATTATTGCTCCTCAGCACTCTGAAGAGGTTCCTGACAGCAAACTTCCCCAATGTAATTTGTCTTTTGATCTCCTGACTGCTGGTGCCAAGAGTGTTGATTGGTAGTGTTGCTGTTAGTGGTTTTTAGGTGCCATTGAGTAGAGTACAACTCATAGTAACCCTGTGTACAAACGATCTGAACCCTGTTCTATCCTGTGCCATCCTCACACTTCTTGACACACGAGAGCCCACTGTAGCAGTCACTACCTCAATCTACCTAGTTGAGGGTCTTCCTCTCCTTCACCACTCTTCCCAACATCATGTCCCTCTCCAAGGAATAGCACCTCCTAGCAACATGCCCAAAGTATGTGAGGTGAAACCTCATCATTCTTGCCTCCAAAAAGCACTCTGACTGTACCCTCTACAAGACATATCTTGTTTGTTCTTTTGGCTGTCCATGGGATGTTCACTGCTCTTCTCCAATACCAAAAATTGTTATTTATACTGGTTTACTTACAAAGCTTGTATACACTTTTTTCTGCACACCATATCTTTCCCATTTACTTTATCCACCTTTCCCCCCAACTATCAATTTGTGCAACACTATGATTAACCATCTCCCCACCCCTCAGCCCATTCTCACCCCTCTGCTTCTCCTCTCCTTCCCTCTTGGATCTTCATACACATTCTACAATAATGGTCTTATACAGTATTTGTCCTTATGAGACTGAGTTAGTTCACTCAGCATAATGCTCTCCAGTCCCTTCCAAGTTAGGTAGTGCTTTACAAAATCATTGCTCCTATGAGCTGTGTAGGTATATGTGAATTATGGTATATGTGAATATACCATAATTTCTCAATCCATTCGATTATGGTTGGACATTTGGGCTGTTTCCAAATTCTTGTGATGGTGAATAATACTACTATGAACACTGGTATACAAGTCTCCGCTTGTGCCTCAGTTCTCATTTTCTCAAGGTATATTCCAAGCAGTGGGATAGCTGGGTCATATGGAATTTCTGTGTTCAGCTTTCTGAGGAAACACCAAATTGCTGTCCACAGTGGTTGTACCATTTTACTATCCCAGACCTGCTGGTGGTTTCGAACTGCCAAGGAGCCACACATCTTAGGGTTAGCAGCGCAGATCCCCATGGACTAGACCACCTGCGTAATTTTTTGACTTCTGTTACTTGACCACCAGGAGGCCTGTTTCTTTTCTTTCCCTTGGTTCTTCCAAAAACATGATTTACATCTTTACTATCAAGTCATCAATGATCTTAAAGCATCATAAGAAAAAAATTGCAGCTTTTAGCTGTGTACCATATTTCAGAGCAATCTTTTAAAAATTATATTAGTTTGCTTACAAAGTTCAGATAGATTGTGTTTCACACTATTCTTCATTCACATTGTGTTTCATACAGTCATTCCTGTGCCTTATATTACCTAAAATTAATCACCATTGAACCTTACCCGCCATTAATCAATCTTTCCAGGTCCCTGCTGGATCCTTCCCATTTCCTTCATCTCCTGTTTCCACTTACCAAATTGTGCAATGCTGTGGTTTTGCCCCTATCCATGCTCACTCCTTTGCTCATACCCTTAACCCCTTTAGGTCCCCATACATGTTTTACTAATTATTCTTCTATTTTTACAAGAATGATATTATGCAGTATCTGTCCTCATGAGACTGAGTTAGTTCACTCAGCATGATACTCTGCAGTCTCACTCAAGCTACATAGTATTTTTTCAAAATTGTTGCTCTTCAGTGCTGCATAGTATTCCATTGTGTGAATGTACCACAATTCCTCAGTCCATTCAGTTGTGGTTAGACATTTGGGCTGCTTCCATGCAATGGTAAATAACGCTGCCATGAACATTGGTTTATAATTCTTGTGTGTGTGTCTCATGAGTCTTTTTAAGTTAAAAAAAATAATCTTTCAGAATTATAAGGTATTGAATCTTCCCCTGTGAGACATAGTAGAGGGCAGGTCCTGATGACCGTTGCTGCATTCTCCATGGAAAGCAGTGGGGGCATGTGTGCTGTCACTGAAAAGCTTGGCATCTGGAGAGCTGAGTTGAATCCCAGATCTGCTACTTAAGAGTCCTCTGGCCCCACACAATTTGAAATCCCAGGGTAGTGCAAATGGATACTACACTCACTTGCTAACAAAGGTTGAACGTTTAAGTCCAATCAGAGACACAGACAATCAGCAGAAAGACTTGGCAATCTACTTTTGAAAAGCCAGCCCTTTAAAAAAATGTATTGGTTTGCATATAATAATTTATTTTCATTGTTTCATTTAGGTACTTTGTTTTGATGGAAGTTTTTCTCCCACCTCTTCCCTCCACCCACCAAACTCTGCAGACCCCATGATTTTCCCCACCCTCTCATCTTCGGTTTCCCTCCCCCCTTCTCTTTCCTCTTTGGATATCCACACACATCTTACTGGTCATGCTTCTTTGGTCTTAAACAGTATTTGTTCTTATATGCCTAATAAAGACTAGCTGTTTGAAATGTAGCACCGTTCTCTTCTAACACATATGAGTTGGGTTGCTAGGAGTTAGAGTGGACTTGATGACAACTAGCTTGGTTTTTTGCTCTTGGACAATTTGTTAATCATGTAATTCATAGAGAGTAGGTGTGCTAACGTAAAGACAGTTTAGATCCATCAGCAGCTCCATGGGAGAAAGACGAGCAGTCTCCTCCTGTGCAATTTACAGCCTCAGCAAAGTCTCTGA